TGGTGCTGTAGACAGCCATATTTGTAGTGAACTCCAGTTTTTGCCATAAGCATTTCAAGTCTTGAGTTGCTTTTGGTTATGGCTTAAGAAAGTAACTATTGAGATTACAGCTTGAAAATCATTTATTTAGATCACATATATTCTAAACTATGTCTTAGTCCTTCAAATTTTTGATGTTAGGAGCACGAATGTTACTGCACCTATAACAGTCCTCTTTTTTCTTTTTTTTTTTTCTTTTTTGCCTCCTGACAGGCAGCTCTTCGAGTTACTTTCAAGAGAATCCAATAAAGGAAAAAGGGAAGGCTTATGATGGTAACGAACCCGAGAAATCAGCAGGGCATCAACCAGATGTTTATACACTGTTAAAAGGTAACAACACCAGTTTTATCAGTACCTTTCCATAATGTCACAAATGATTGCTTAAGTGTGCTAAAATGACATTACTTCAGTTCTCTTACAGAAGGAGGAGTTGTTGAGTTGAAATCCGGATGAAGAAGTTTAAAATATGAATAAATTTCAGAGTATACTCCTGCCCATGGGTCAAATTAAAACTGATTATAGTAAGGCAGTCATTTGCTCAGGTGTGAAACCTTAAAGTTCAAGAAAGTGCAGTTTTAAACTTTGATAAATACACAGCCATCTGTTTTTTGAAAAGCAAAAGATGAGCAATATCATACCTGCCTCACAAATGTTATGAGAGTGGATCTTTAATTGCCTCAGGCAAAGCAAAGCTGTTATGTTTTTTTCTAAAAAGATTAATTACTTCTGACTTTAGCAGGGGGAAGTTGACTGTACCAAGTGATTTCAAAGTGAGGGAGCATTTTTATTTCTTTTCATTGCTCAGATGTGTGTTAGAGAAGCAGTAGGGAAATACAATAAGGAAGAAAATGGGTTACTTTTTAGCCCAGCAGAAGGTAGTTATGTTACTACAGGTGGTTTCAGTACAATCAAATAGATACACTGTGTAAGGGAGAACTCCTGATTGGTGAGGCAGTGTCTTAATCATGGAATGTTTGTGGGAGAGCACGGAAAGCAGTTGTGAGCACAGACTGACAAAGCACAGACAAACCCCAGGTAGCTGAGATGTGCACAGGAGCACGTCTGGCCTGCTGAAGGCCACATTAAGCCCTTCCTATTAGATAACAGCAGCTTTCTCCACCTACAGAGAGGTCCAAGAGGCTGTCATATGGCACAGGCTTGGTTTGGCAGCACAGGGTATGCTCCTTCCCTAATAAATCTTTTGACAACTTCATAGAAGGAGCTTGAAGTACGTATGGCTTCTCAGTCTTATTCTGACCTCTGATGCGATGACCAAGTTCTTTCATTGGTGTTTTGGTTTCAGAAAGAAAGGCTGACTTCCGTGAGAAAAACCAAGAGCACCACTCAGCTACTACATCACAGAGTAAGTTGAAAAATAGGTACCTACTGTTTCCTTGTAATTAAGTTGAAAGTACAGAATTCTTTTCCTTTTTTCTGCTTATGGTGTTTCTTGTGCCGTGGGATACTCTGAGAAGGTGAAAGGAGACCCAGGAGGCAAATCCAAATGGAAGCTGTAGAAGTCAGCATGAGGTTGTTCAGCTTGCTGACCACAGAAAATGATCCACTTTATCTTTTTTGTTTGCCTTTTTTACCCCCTTTTTTTCTTTTTTGGGTGAGTTAGGCAACGGAGTTCACTCATGAGACAGTCAGTGTGGAGCATATAGCAGTAGCATTGTGGGGGTGAGCTGAGGAAGGAAACAAAACCTTCACCTTTTGGTGGCAGCAGATGTTAGTTTCTACACATCACCGTCCCTTCTAGCCTTTCCCTGAGTAATAGGTGGCCTGCTGTGATTGAATTAGTTGTCATAAATTGCTGCTTCTCTCCAGGAGTATATTTTTTAATTTTTTTTTGCTAGCAAACTCCAATCTGTTCGTCTAATGACCAGTTCCTTGTGTTTCAGGATTTTATCCTTGGTTGCTTTTGTGGATTTGTTGGTTTTGGGATATTTTCCTTCTTGGAAGAGTACTTGAAAGGAGTTGAGGGGTAGAAATGTTCTGTATTCTTAGTAGTCTTCTGCTCTTCATGTCTTGGTGCTTGTTTCTATCCTGAGCAAGTGCAGATAAACAGAATTCAATCTGGAGAACTTGGGGGAGTTGTTTGGGTGGTTTTTTTGTGGTTTTGTTTTTGAAAACCACAGTGCTTTCTGGAAGAGAAGCTTTTCTTGTGGTAGCTGCACATCTGTGAAGCGCCTTTGAAAAATGAAGTGATGCAGGGAGGTCTCACTAGTCTGGTGCTTTTTTCTTTCCAGAGGTAGTAGGTGCTGCAGAGTGACCACTTGTGTGTTGGGTGAAGAACTTCAGAAAATCACTTGAAACTCTGAAAGCTCTAAGGTGTCTGCAGAAGTTACACCTTTTGAGTTAGGCGAAACAAATACTTTGCTCAGCCCTTTGTGCAAATGGTAAAATAAGGCAAGATTCTTGGGTAGGATAGGATCTGGTTTTAGACTGTTCATGGAAATATTTTTCCTGTAGTGTGTGAATCTCAGCTGTCTCTGAAATACGAAACCAAGTCTCTGCGAACAGGGCTACACTGTAAAATATTACAGAATTGAGGTGATTTTGATCCGTTAACTATTAGAAGACTTAAGTAAGCTTAGCCAGTTACAGGCTGTGCCCTATAGGGGTAGGGGGTTGAAATTAGAGAATAGCACAGCCCATTAAGCCAGTTAAGCCCCGGCTTAAAGCAGAGCTGCTTTTAGCACCTTCTGCAATTACATTCATACAGAAACAAGGTTATAGAATTTATTTCAGTGTTCTTGAAATAACTCCTGCAGAGTGTGTTTGCTCAGTTTATTCTCAATAGTGTCATTGACAGTATCCTGATTTGGTTATGTATTATTAAAGAGCCTTCAGCTTTGAACTAGTTGCTAGTTCACAAGGAGCCAGAAATTCTCATGTCTTTTTAATTAACCGACTAAGTGCAGAAAACATGCAGACCGCTAATTGCACTCTATATATTCCTACTGTTCTCTTGGGAAAGTTGTTCATAACACATCTTTATGGATAATGGCTCTTGTCTTTTGCTGTTTGAGCCCATTTAAATAAATAGACTGTGATTATATTTTTTAAGTCGAAAGCTTTCATTTTGCTTGAGAAGCACAATTAATCCCAAGAAACTGACTGCTGGTGAAAGAGGCCTCTGACCCAAGCTAGACGGAGAGGGGATATGAGACTATGCCTTTAACATGGCACGTTGCTTCTGCTACTTATATCTTGTATAAGATATATACTTATATCTTGTATATCTTGTACTTATATCTTGTTGTGGTGTTTTCCTAATATGTGTGTTAACTGAGCCTCTGTCCCTTTTCTGTCCCTCAAACCCTTGAGCAAAATCAGGAAACTTAAAGGGGATATGGGATCATTTTGCAGAAAATTACAGGTTGTTAAATCCTGGCCATTTGTGCTTGAAACGCCTCTTTTTATTTGCGTAGCTCTTCAAGAGTCAAAAATCGTTCTGTGAATGATGCAGAAAAGAACAGAGAGCCCCACACTCGGTACAGCCCTACCTGGGATGAGGTCCCAGCCTCGCCTGTGCTCCCACTTAGCAGGGCTGCGGGTGCTTCAGTAAGGTGTTATACCAGGGTGCTTCGTTAACCTTCCTGTAAGCTTTGTAGAACTTTATATGTAAAAGCATAACTAAGAAGAGCTTTTAGCTGAAAATAACACAGTTTGAGCGATTTCAACTCTCTGCTAAATTCCCTGCTGGAAGATTGGTTGTTGTTGCGATGTTTTTCTCATGTTCCTTTCTTAATCTCTTCACAGGCAGAAGTAAATTTCGAGATCAGCCCAGCACAGGGAAACAGTCGCAGCCTTTGGCCAAAAGTACGACTTCTGCTTTCACTTCTCTTTTGGGCTTGTGTTACATTTAATCATTTTTATGCTCATTCAAGTATTAGATTTCCTGGGAGCTGGTGTTAAACTGAGGGTTCTTGCTAGAAGAGATGACTTGCTTGCTAGGGCGTGTGTTTTCAGCATGAAGGAGGGAGGAGTGTTGCCTTATAGGTAACATTTCCACTTGAATTTACTGTCTTCCATCTGTAGTGTTTAGAAGCTGCGGGATTAAAACCGAGGCAGGCCTAGTGGTGTTCTTACTTAATAGTTGTGTTGCTGTCCTGATAAAAGTTAGGATGAAAAACAAAGGTAGTGTAAGGTATACAGCTCTTCTCTGCTCCCAGGGAGGTTGGTATGTTTGTCACAAATAGTACTGGGAACAGAATCAAGCCTTATGCTTGTAGAAGGTCAAACTGGTGCTACCTGTTCAAATACAAAACCAGATTGAAATATCTAGTATTCTCTATGCTTCCTGTGCACTGTTTGCTGCACGTACTCTTTGTGAAGTTACTAATTCAAAGACTACAAATGTTTTCTGATAGTGCTGATCACCAGTGCTAATGCTGCTCCAGAAACTATTTTTATCCTTATGGGGAGAGGAGAAATAACACACAAACCATTCTAGCGAGGCCAGGTTTTGCACAGTGCTTTTTCTGCAGAGCCTTAGGAAAAAGATTGACCCTTTTCAGAACCATTTCAAGCTCTTAGTTTGGATTTCATTAAATTCAAGAGAGTACTGGTAAACTTTCAGAAGTGATCCTTTTTCAGCAGAATGCCCAATTTCTTAGTCAATCTGGAAATGCATAAAAATGTCCTTAATTGCTGTTGCTTCACTAAGTTGCTAAAGAATTTCAAAATTTGATTGTTTTCTTTGTAATTAGAACATCTTTACACCCTTCAACTATTGTCCTAGTTGCTTGAGTGGGATGATTTCATTGAATTCTACTGTTTCCTCTTACTTTGATCCCACTTGTTGACTTCTGATCCCTTGTAAAACGTTGTTTTCTTCCCGTGTGCTCCACCTTCCTACAGATAATGGCCAATCCCAGAGTGGATTTCACAAGAGCTGGACTTTGTTACTGGTTCTGTTTATTAGCGTCCTATTGCTTTATGTCCTGTGGAGCAGAATGCCAAGTCTTCTAGATGCGACTTTGTCAAGTAGAGATACTCAAATCCTACAAACATTTCGGGCCCAGATGAAGAAACTAAAAAGTACTTACCAAAGTCAGGACCCCAGTCTGTGGAAAAGAACCCACGTGTTCCTTGAGAAACATCTTAATGCTTCCCATCTGCACGTGGAACCGGCCATCTTACTGCTCACAGCTGGTCAAGAAGCTGAGACGGCGCTGAGGTGCCTGAGTAACGAGATTGCCAATGCTTTTGCCTTCTCCCAGAATGCTACTACCATCAAAATTAACGGGGCAGATAAAGCCGTACTGGATAGTGACATTGTCAAGCTGGAGGTAGATAATGAGCTCAGCTCTGGGTTCAGAGAAGGCAAGAAGGTCGCAGTGGTGCATCGATTCGAGTTACTGCCTGCAGGCTCCACCTTGATCTTTTACAAGTACTGTGACCATGAAAATGCAGCATTTAAGGATGTGGCTCTCCTGCTGACAGTTCTCCTGGATGAACAATCGCTGAGAAAGAGCATCACCTTGCAAGAAGTTGAGGAGAAAGTCCGAGATTTCCTCTGGGAGAAGTTCACCAGTTCAGATGTTCCCGCTTCTTACAATAGTATGGACACAGATAAGCTGAGTGGACTGTGGAGCCGTATATCTCATCTCGTGCTGCCTGTTTGGCCTGAAAAGGGCCTCTCCGTGGAGGGATGCACATAAAAGCTGTTGGAGGAGACTCAGGAGAGAAGGAAGACAGAAGACGCGCGTTGCAGTGGCTGAACAGGGAAGAATTTCCTGTGGCTGCTGGACTCAGCCAGCATATTGCTCTTTTCTGGGCAGAGAAATTCCACCAAATGAACTGGCAGCATTGTTTCTCCTAAAGTAACTGAGACTTCTCCAAATCAGCTGCAGAATGTGAGAAACTTGGCTGGTTGTTGGTAAGTTGTGTTCAGTGACTTAGTCCTGGAGCTGGAAGTAAGTGTCCGAGAGCGTGGAACCACCCGTCTGCTTCGGCAGTTGGCTTGGGGCAGCATTGCCTTTGCCATGAGGATCCTCTTCTGGTGAGGCATAAAGCTGGTACCGTGTTTGACAAGGTAACGGGACGCAAAAACTCACCTTCGTCTGCCAGAATTGCTTATTTTGATTCTAATGTAAGCAAAAACATAAACTGAAAATGGTGATAAAAAGTGAGTCTTAAGCACAAGTTTTTCCTTGATTGATCTGATCACAGCAGCTGTCAGCTCTCTCTGATAACTTCTAGAAATGGCAAAATTGCTTGAAAGATTTGTGACTTGCAGAGAACCTTTCCGCAAGCGTTTCTTCCCAAAATGAACATGCCCCAAACGGTTCTGGAAAGAGAGAGAAGCTGAGGTACGAAGGATTGCTTGATGTTAGTAGTGCTGACGTCAGTTAAACGATCCCTTCAGCGCTTTGTCTCACTGCTTCCAGGAATTCTCTGCTCTTTAACAAAGTTGTGCAAGCCTTAAAATTTGTGGAAAAGAATAAAATGTCAGCCGTGTGTGTACTAAAGACCTGTTGCATCTCCTTTCCAAACAAAAGTTTAGGAAGACATAGGTTGTTTCTCATTGGAATAAGATAATTATTTTTGCATCAAGAGAATTTATTTATTTGTGCTACTTGGTATCCTAGAAAAAAATAACCTTCCTTCATGTGTCTGCACATAACCTGCTGCTTGCTGTATAAGCTTTCTGGAGAACAGGTTTACAAGGCATGTTTTTAAAATGTGTGTTTTTAGAGTGCCTCGTGCGGCAAATCCCTCACACCAGACTAACAGCGGGTTTCTCTAGAAAGTATTTTGTGTAAAGAAAAAATAAAAAAAAGAGCGAGAATTGCAGCACTTCCATTTTGTTGCCGTTACTGGATGCTCTTGAACTACGGGTCCGTGTCCATTTGGCTTCATGGAGTACGAAGGAATGTGTGAAAACTGCCCTCATAGAATGTTTTCTTTTAACAGCTGAGGTACTGGGGACTCTTGGACCCATCCTCGAGTTGTCCCGTTGCAAAAACTCCTTCTTAACCAGGAAAACCTCTGGAGGTGCTGCAGCTTCTGGGTTCCTTGTGGGGTGTTAAATGGAATGGGCCAAACCCACTGTGTGCATAGAAAAGAACAGTTTGAGAGACACAGAGCTGTGGTCACTGAAACCAGCCGTAATTTTTATTTTAATGGGAAGAAATACAAACAGTAAGAAAACATGGAAGTTGTGCTGTTCTGGCTGTTTAAGGATAGCTCAGGAAGGGGGAGGTGGCATTTACATTTTGGACATTTCACTGGACAAATGTTTTCTTAAGAGATAACTGTGACTTATTTCCAAGCGCGTCCTGGTAGCCTCTTTGTTTGTAAATGATGTAAACTATTTTAGCACTCATTAAAAATAAATACACTTGTTTGTTTTATAAGCTGTTTTAAGACTGAATTTTAAGTGGGTGTTTTTTACATATTTATAAGATCATTCCTTTTACCTTTGACCAAATACAGATGCCCAAAATACAACCTTGTGCAGAATTTAGATCTTTTAAAAAACTCGAGTGGAGAGGTGGATACTGGGATATTTGATAATACCAGGGCTTTTCTCAAACAGAGAGCATTTCAGGAAATTGTAATAGCTCTGAATTGTCTTTTACTTGGTGTTCTTGTACTAATCCTTCCGTTCTGATTTCAGCTGGAACTAACGATAAGATATGGTTCACTTGTTTCATTAGTCCAATACAAGAGTCAGCAGCTGACTAAAGGGATGACTTCATTCTTGTTCCAGTCCTCGCTGGGTGTTCCCGTACCTCTGCTTTTGCAAACGAATGCGCCGTGAACTGACTGGAGGGACGGTCTTACTAAAAAAAAAAGTCTTAGCAAAGAAGTATAAAATAAGCAGAATTGGCAACCACAAAAAAAAAAAAAGTACAAAGTTAGGACACGAAGGCAGGAGACTCCATGCTCTTCTACAAATCAAACATATTTAATCTGGGTTATTTTCTGTTTCTAAAACGGCCCCTGGTGATCATGGGGTAGTAAAGAGCTATGTTCCCATGTTTTGAGACAAAATAGGAGGATGCCTGGAAACCAAAGACTTAATCTTCTACTTAATGTTGTGTCAGACAAAGGAGAATAATTTTTTTTGTTTTGTTAACT